CAAGAGATTAATTCAATCCATTTAGAAAGTGTTAAAGTTTAGATCGAAAGCATCAAAAGAAATGATTTCATCATAATATTTAAAAGATTAAAGCTAAAAAATAAGCGAAATTATTACAATTAATAATTGTATTCTCAATTTATAAGAGAGATAATTCTCACTTGATATCAATAGAGCTTATTTGATAGCAACTATAAACAATGAAGTTACGGTTAAAGAATGAGTGATATAGTTATGGCCAAAGAACAATTTTCAATTTGGAGATAATATTCAACTTGGTACTAAAAAGGTTTATTCGATAACAAGTATCAATAGAGTAGCAGTCAAATAATGAGTGATAAAGCTATGGCCAAGAAATTATTCTCAATTTCATATTGTAAGGTGAATTTTCAACCTAACAAGAAAGAAATCAAACCCTATTATGTATTTAAAGAGATAATTTTTTTCAACTTAGTACCAAAGAGATTAATTTGATTCAAAGCATAAGCTATTAAATTATGGCCAATAAAAATGGATTCAACATAGCAACCATATCAATTTTGTATCTCAATTTGATTTTAAAGATAAATCTCATGTACAATTAAAAAAAACTTTAAACATAGTTTAGGGTAAAGAGATAGGTTTTCTACCTGATTCTAGAGAGTTTAACTCTAAACTCGAATCAAGGAGCATTTTTTTCTTATTGCCTCTTCATCCAAGGAGATGTCTCATCTACCCGAATAAGAAAAGTTTAACTCAATACTCTTTTCGAGGAATAACTTCTCTACTTGGTGGGATTAAAACTATTCCAGCACCTCTTCTTTGTTACTAGGATGGAAAATATGTTAACAAATCTGAAAGTGCTTGAAACTTGATAGCTTTTAATTGAATAACTGATATATCAAACTCTCCAAAGAAAAGAAAGATTATCATAGTTAGCATGAATTATTGCATTCACATGCTCCCGAGGATTCTAATGAGTTGGAAGTGGATTGTTCTGAACTTCAATGTTTCCAATTAGCACTTCTCTTGCTCGCACCTTTCGATAGAATATTCTACGAAAATTCTTACATTCAATAAGTGGATGACCAACCATTTGGTGATAGTCACAATACCTTAGGTTGGACTTTTCTTCTGTTATTAGTGGTTGTGAAACATAAGGTAGATTCACTTTTCATCTTTAATCTATTCTTTAAAAAGTACATTCACTGTAAACATTGAAACTGAGAATGGTGGAAAGTCAATATCATCATCTTGTTTTATTTTTTGATTATCTCTTCTAGGGCGCACATTAGGACGATAAGGTCCCTACATTTCTCTTGCTCCTTCTTGAATTGCATTCACTATAGAAGTATTTTTTCTAGTGAAACAATTGACTCCTCATTGCCTAAGAACCATATTATTGGCTCTTCTTGCAGCTTTAACCAAAGTAGCAAAGGTTAGAAGAGGTAAATTCTCTAAGTGTATTCTATACTCATTAAACATTCCTTGGATACATATTTTACCAACTCTTTATCACCATGAATCTTGAATATCCAACACTCTTTCCCTGGAGTGTTGAATGTATTCCATGAGATCTTTCCGTGACTTTTGATGTTCTTTTCTCAAGTCAATCAAAGTAACCTTTTCTTAGGTAGAAAAATTTTTCCTTTAACATTCTTCAAATCTAACTCCGAGATTCAATAGAGCCAAAAATAAGATTGACATAACAGGTGTATGCTTTTTTAAAAAGAGACTTAAAAAATTCTTTCAACTTCAAATTATCATCTAATCTAACTACTCCAAGAGTTTTCATAAACTTCATTACATGCTCACGAACATCTTTGATCTTGCCATTGAACTGCTTAAACTTAGGACTAGTATAGTCCTTGAGATATGGCTTAGCAACCACTATAGCAAGATAAGGTAGCTTAAGATTAAATTCAAAAAAGTTTAAACTTTTGTTCTTCTCCTCAAGTAACTTTTGAAGTTCTTCTTTAATGACAAAGCCTTGAGTTGTAGTTGAAGAAAAAGATACAGTGAAAGTACCAGCAACTATGGTGTTTTTCACACCAAAATTTTCATTAAGATTATTAGGATTTAGCACATTTAAAGTGTTTTCTCTATTGCCATTCGCAGAAAGGATAACTTTATTAAAAGTGTTTCTATTCCCCTCAGTAATAGTTTAAGCTTAAAAGTCATGGCATTGAAAGATTTATGTTGGGGATAGTTTTCTCTAACTTTTGCATTCTCTCTTAGGAAGTTTGAGTCATTTTCATTAGTTACTAGATGTAGGCAAAGGTTTGAGCATTTTGCTTTCTAGTAGAATACTCCATTTTTTTCTAGCAAAGCAAGATCAAAATTTGTTTTGTTTAATGCAATCACTCTTCCCTAGTAAAGTCACCAAAATATAAAAAAATTCTTTGTTGAGGTAAAGGAGTGTTGCAAACAAGTAGAATAGGATGTGCTAGGAAACAACAACAAATGAGATTGTAGCAAACCCTGAAGTATTGAGTGCATTAACAGATGGTGGCAGGTAGTGAAGTAAGGCTGAGTAAGAAAAGAATGAAACTGAGAAAAATATTTAGGAAGAAAGAATTACAGAGAAAACAAAGTTTGCCAAAAGCCTCCAAAAGTTTCTCAATAAAATGTGGGAATTCCTATTTATAGGTTTCAAGAATAGAAGTTACATATCTTGAGTATTAAATAAAAATAATGGTGAATAATGAGAGAATTGCTATTATAAAGGTATTAATGTATTATTTAATGAGAGTTTAACTTTTTGGTAACAGACGTAGTGAATATAGAAGTTCATTATCTGTTTTAAAGGAAAAGAAGAAGCATTCATATTTCAGAAAAAATTTAAAAGAAAATCTCTTAACTATCTCCATATCTGATCCATTAAGCCAAATTCTCTAAAACATGCTAATAGTGGAATTAGTCCAAAACCCTGCCATATTTCAAAGGTATTTTTATTTTTTCTTTTGGTGAAATAACATTTGATGAAGTATTTTTTATGGAATAACTCTTAGTGAAGCAATTGTATTTCAAGAGTTTTCGTTAAATGTGTTGGTCTTGTTTTTGAGAAAGTTGTCTCAATAACAGCTATTTCATAAAATAGTTATTTTTTGAATAATTATTTCATAAATAGTTATTCTATAAAAAGATTGATTCATGAATAGTTGTTTCATGGAATAATATTCACTAAAAAATTCTTATCACCTATTCCGTAAATGACCTTCACTTAAACAGTTTTAGCACATATTTGGATTTATCCTCGATTTTAACAATTTTACATAAATTAAAAAAAATATTAATAACCAAAATCAAATATCTATAATTTGAAACTTAAAAAAAAAAAAATGGCCTTCCTACTGCATCTCACTTCGGGGCTGCATAAACGCCACAGGCCACATGTTGAAATTGGACTTTGAAGAAAGCCTCAATCAACCATTTTATGCTCATTTCGTACTGGAAAATTCCCACTGCCTACCTTTTTATTACTCAGTTTGAAGAGCTGGGTCACAATTTGAAACCCAATCGAACCGAACATCTTTTCATGGAAGTTGGACCAATTTTAGATTTTTTTTAAGATGCAAAGGGTTTCTGTTTATTCCATATATTTCTTTTGAATAAATTTAAATAAATTTATTTAAGTCGAATTTAATAAATTGATAAAAAAAATTTTCTTTTCACATCCTCTCAATAAATTTAAATTCAAATAACAAAAAGAAAAACATATATTTTTTTCTCGCTTAAACTAACCTTACGTGGTTGATAATATGAGACATTTTTAGCAAATTTAAAAAGTTGTTCTATCTATTTTATATGAAGTTATATTTCATGCGAAACACTGAAGTGTAAGGATTAAACATCAAAATGCTGGTTGAAAAAGCCAATTAAAAGGAAAATAAAAGGCCTCTTCGTGTATATAATTTGATAATCCAACATACCCAAAGGTTAAAAAGCTTTGACGGAACCATTGCCGCTGTGGGTTCTCAGGGTGGCTACCACTGATTCAAACCAATCCAATAATGTGAAGATCGACTATTAACTGCTTCACATTAAAAGGGAAGGGGAAAACAGAAAAGGGACTCGGAGCCTGCGATTAAAATGGCAGCTGATATGGTTTCAAAACGATAGTTTTGAAAAACAATACCTAAAGTGACCCATCCATTGAAAGACCCTTTTCCTCTATTATTTCAGTTTATTTATTTATTCATTTATGAAATCTTAAAGACATGACCTCATTTAGTGACATGTGGTATGGTCTCATTTGTTGACATGTTTATTTTTACTGACAAATTTTTAAAAAATTAAACCTTTAATAAGTATTTTAATTACATTTAATTTAATTTTGAAAAAATTATCAAAGAAATTATAGTTCCTCTTGAATATTTGTTTTTCATTTTTATGTAATTTTGAGCAAGACTCTATTCATTAAAAATTATGTGTGATTTTTTTATAAAATATTTTTACACTTGAAAAATGAGAAGAGATGATACAGAAGAGAGAGTAATTACAGGGAGAGAATAAGGTTTAGGAAAGAGAAAAAATAAAATAAAATAAATATATTATATATGAAAATAGATAATAAAAAAGTTAAAACTATAAATATTATATTGAAGTAAAAAATTAAACAAAACTATTTATACTGATTTTTCTTTTTTTAACTCCCATTTTTTCTCTCTTTTATTGTTTTTTGTCTCTTTTAATTATTTAAAAAATTATAATTTGTAACACACAGAAAAGAAAAAAAAATAGCCAATCAATTTGTATTTTTTTTTTATTTTCAAAAAATTATAACTCTTACAAATTACATGAACATAAAAAGAATATTTATCTATCGTGGGTATTTACTAGTATACTATTAATCCATTATATATATATATATATATATATGATCAACTTAATTACACAAAAAAAATTATATTTTTTTAACTACTGATTTTAATATATAAATCTAAAAGATGAAATTAAATAATTTTTTTTCTTTTTAACTTATTTCTTTTATCTCTTTAATCTATTAAAATCATCCCCAACCAAAATATCGTCTAGCTACTTGACGAAGGCAATCTCCGATTTCCTCCATTTTGCTAGACGTAATAGGAAAGCTAATACTTCTGATGGATCACGCAAGGAGTACCGAGCTAAGGTTTCTGTTGGAATGGAAGAAACAATGATGGGAAACCCTTTCCCTCTACCTGCAGCTATGACCTGAAATTAAACATAAGAAAAACACCAAGTTTCAGTATACAAATTGAAAAGATACTAGAAATTAGCTGTCAAAAAAGTCATGATTTTGTGGAAGAATTGAATTAAAACAAAGAAAAAAATTCACTTAATGCTAACCTGGAATGCATCTTCATCAGTTCGATCATCTCCAATGTATAATGGGAGAACCTCTTCGGCATTGCTGAATCCTAAATTATCAAGCAAATAATTGAGGGCTTTACCTTTGTTCCACTCTATTGATGGCCGGACTTCTAAAACCTTCACACGAATTACACAGACAAAAATTTCAGGATGTCAGGGACACAAGTATATTTGACAGCAATCTACAAGATAGACAGAAACTTTTGGAAGATGTATCCTACCATTTTACCCTCGGTCAGACGGAACTCCGGACGATTTTCAACTAGAGATTTCACTTCCTCCTTCAAAGTTTCATGGTCCTACATGATGGACATTTAATTTTACAAGAGATTCATTAAACTGTTACCATTTTAGAGTTAAACACTAAGGCGTTTTCAGATTAGACTATGATGATTAATGTGATGTAACTGATTTACAATGAATTTTTTTGTTTAAAATTTACCTCTGGCGGAACTTGCCGATAGTGCACAGAAATGCAAAATCTGTTATCCTCTATCCTAGCACCTTGTATTGCTCCAATTTTATCTTTCAACTTTATGGATATCTGTCACAAACAAATAACTTACTTATGTAAATACAAACACAATAAGTGGAAAAGCCTAAGGCAGTCCACTCAAAGACCAAAATATAGTCTGCAAATTATGTCAGCTGATTACCTTTTGAATTGCGGGTAAAAATGACTTAGCAGGTTGAAAGGCGCCCTCATTCCCCTACCGAATCCAGAAAGAAACCGATGTTATAAAAAATTAATCTCTAAAAGCATACTTTTGCCAGCTTTATTGGGTTGGAGAAAGCAACTGACCTTTTTATCGCAGGATTTCACCGCTTTGGATGGTACCATTATGTCCAGCCCATGACTCCCAGCATAGTATACATTATCCAACTGTACAAATTCTTCAACCTGAATCACAGATAGGCTTGATACTATCAGCTAATCAGCTTTATAAACTAGGCAGAAAAGCTGCTGTAAAAGCTTTCGAAATTGACTCAATTGGCTACAGTTCATAGATTCATTTTACCTTATCTCGGCTCCTACCACTGATTATAGATGTTGGAAAATACTTTGCAACTTCATCAACTGCCGCACGCATCTAAAATTAAGAAATTGTAAGGTACTATGCAATCATGGTAACATACGATTTTGTCTAATAACGTAGTGGAGATTTACGAGCATGCATTGCACACGTAAATATTAAAAGGCTAATAACATAGAAATGGCTACCTCAGCGGACATGAAGGCCTGATCAGGGTCTTCAACTATTGGTGACAGAGTACCGTCATAATCTAAAAACACAGCGACCTTTTTCCCCTTAGCTGCTCTTATTATGGAATCAAATGAGTTCAAAGCAGAAGGGTGCTTCACCTGATAATAATATAGAACGTTCACAGCAACAATACTAAACTTCGACCGCATGTTTATGGCATGCAATGTTATATAATGAGCATGGAAATAGTGAAACAGATGAAAGATCACTAGTCAAGTACCAGCCATGAAGCATAGTCAGCTGCAACATCAAGTGGGCCGCTTGATAATCTCCCTTTAATAGAGCCATTGGTACCATTATTCTCAGGACCCGAGAAAGGCTTCACCTTCTGCTTATTGGAATGTGATATTCGAAACCCCATTGTCTGGTTAAGCTTTGCCAAGTTTCTCTTGATCATCTAATTAAAACGTTGGACCAACTTCATTAGAAAAAAGCATAAACGAACATTTCTTTGAGACTTAACAGATGAAATCATAACTACGATTATATGGCAAAAAATTAACTATTCCACAACATTCCTGTAGCTCTAGTAATTGTTGTGACATGTTAATTAGTAAAAATTGATCATTATATAATAATAATAAAAATAAAATAAAATATTTTAACAATCACTCATCCGTCATCAGTAGAGAAACCTTTGATGAAATATATTGCTACTATCAAGCATAATCTAATCATAGCTTAACAATAAATAAATAATTAAATAAACCTGAATAATGATCCAATGAGAATTTTGGATTCGACTAAAGCAAATACCTTTAAGCCTTAAACCTTAATGAAACGAATTAGTGAATTTCTTGGGATAAGTAATAAAAATTTTCACTATTTTATCCAAAAATAAATAATGCATTTTTAATTAAATCTATGATTGAAATTTAATAATTTTAAATTAAATATAAAAATATTTAAACAAATATTAATTTTAAATTTTATTGAAAATACATTTATCATTTTTAGATAAAGTAATGAAAACTTTCACTATTTTTAAAATAATGGGAGGATCTTGTCTTGATTTTTTTACCACAACTGAAAGCACTTGCTGCTCAATAAAAGATGGTGGAAGTTTTTTTCTTTTATTTTTTTGAAAGGTAGTAGCAGTATTTATCCAGAAATCCCCCTTAGTTATTTTTTATAAATTTTTCTTTTTCTATAGTTTGGACTACAACTAAAATTCAAATTCGAAACTTTCAATCCATTTTCTTTTGTCTCTTTAATTTGAACTGTAACAAAATTAATTTGTTGCGTCTGGAAATGGATTACGCACATCCTTCTTAGTATAAGGTTAGGTCAAACAATTTGACAACTTATAATTTATTCCTACGATATGTTTATATATACTCCAATATTTTCAACTACATATCCTGTTTATTTACGAAAGAGAAGCAGGTCAAAATATTTTAGGTATAAATTTAGAAGTCGGTGGTTTACCACAATACATAAACCTGAAACAATTAAATTAAGGGGAAAATCACTTTCAGGTGATAGCTGAATCTTATAAAATTATTAAGGGGGTTTTCATTTTCAATATTTTGATACAATTAAGTCGTTTTGGCCCTTGAAAATTGCTAGCAAAGTAGAATTATTACTTTAATATTTACTCTAAATTATTTCTCTAAGGTCACTTTCATGGAAAAACGATCATCTTGCGAGAGTTTTAAAACCAGAACATAATGGGTTTTCTCTAGATGGGATGGTTTAAGGTCGCTTTCCAGTTGAAAACTTCCTGTCAAAAGAAAGTACATATATATAGAAATAAGAAGAAAACAAAACAAGGACAGTATGATGAGTCGATATTGCATGGCTCATGCCCAATGTAAAGGGTTTGTCTCACTAGAGTTGCCATCAGCTGATTCATCTGACGCGGACATCTGCTCATGCTAGGCCTGGTGAGTCTATCAAAGTCCAAACAAACATGAAAAAAGAGAGAGAAGGAGAGAAGGAAAACAATTTACGGCAAACTCAATCTGGCTCCACTCTTGAACTACCCCCTTTGTCTTTGCCTCATTTCAATTCCTTCCGCCAAGCGAATTAGAATATATTAATATTGTTCTAACTGACTTTCTCTTTCTCATTTGAGTAATGTAAGGGCTCAAACAGATATGTTTTGAGTGATGAAGAATTGATTTTCTAGCGATCAAGGGAATATTGATAAGAAAATTAATCAGTGTGTGGACGAGAGAAAACGAAGCCAACAAGCATGTATATTCGGTTTTAACGTTTAACCATGAAAAACAGAAAGACAATGAAAATGCAGCAAGCCTGTGATTGAAAATTCGAAATGATGATTTTCTAGGTTAATTTTCTTTTTTTTTCATGGTGGAACTTCTGATCTCTATCCACTGCTTTCATTGCAGATGGTAATTAAAATGATTTCATTAGTTTTTTCAAAGAAACAAACATTCCTATATGTTTCTTCATAGGATCTTAAGTCCTAAAGCAATTGAAGAAATAATTGCTTCCTACAAAGCTACATGTCTCCTAATTAAGAGCAGAAATCCATAATCGGTTAACATACTTATATCAATTAAAAGATTCACATCTCTCATATGGCCTCCGCCTCCATAATTACCATGAACAGTACTTTTAATTTCCTTTCATGAAGGGTTCTATTGGTCCCATCCTAACACTGATTTTCTAGTTCTAGTGAGCATGAACCAGATGAAAGTTATTTGATGGTTTTTGACTCTTTTCCATCACCCTTTTTGTTCACATGACAAGGCAAAAACCAACACTATTTTATCTGACAATTAAAGCTGATACGATAGAAAAGAACTGTAACAAAAAACAATTTTCACATTGTTTGCATACAGAAAAAGACTGTCAATTATCGAACGATCTCCTTCTGACATCCACTAACTCAAAGAGTACCCCAACATGCTCCTCAATCCTCATCAGCAGAAGCAGCCAAACTCGATTGTTACAGCATTCGTGCATCCTCATAACCAACTCAATTAACATGATCCGTTCAGAGAAGACACGTGTCCAATGCAGCCATGAATTGACGTCATTTTATTTATTTTTCTACACTCTTTGTTTTTCTTTTTCCTATATTTTTAAAGAAAATCTAGATGACTTTTTTAGCCTACTGAGGTGTGAAGAGGAGAGAAAGAAAACATGAACCTGGTTAACTTATTTTAAGCATAGAAGACAGACAAATTACACGTACTGAGGGGGTTAATGGTTGAATAAGAAGCAGCCGGACATCTGGGTGTTTAGGGTGGACACGTCGAGACCAGACTAAAGTGAAAAAACGAGGAAGAAAGAAAGTCCTGCGGAACCAGACGAAGCAAAAGGACGAAAAGGTCTGAATCCAAAGAAACTGCCTGGGACTGCAGTTTTGAATGATTAATTATTGTAATTTTATTATAAGTGAGTAAAACTAAAAGGTATTGTGATTTAGAAATGTTTAACAAATTGATAGGAAAAAAAAATTATTAAGTGCAAAAGCAGCCAATGCATGGCCTCATTAGTGACTTATGAGTTGCGTTTTTAATTTAATCATCTCATGTTCTCACCTAATTATATACTTAATTAAAAATCTATATACAAATAGACTAACGGCGGTCGGTTGTTAGATCACCTAAAATGGAATAACGTTTCTATCAGTTACAATCTTATGGCAGCAAAAAAATTCAAGACATGATGATGATGTAAGGTTTAGAATTCAAATATGGACATTTCATTAGGGTCCAGGAGATGAATAATGGGATCAAAGATAGTATAAGTGTTGATATTGATTGAGTTGGTGTCACAAATCAAGTAATACAATTCTTTTGAAAAATTACTTAAAATTTAAATTAAATTTATAATAATAAAATAAAATTAAGAGTATTTATATCTTTTTAATTTTTAAAATAAAATATTTTTTATTCATTTCCATTAAAAACTACCCACTCATCAAATAACTTCCATTCTTTTTCAAAATACACATTTATTTTCTTTTCATGCACATAGTGAGTATGCCAAAATTTGGCAGAAGCTTAATTAATCAAAGATTGTAATAAAATTGTCTAAAACCCAAAAAAAAAAAAAGTGAAAAACCAATATATTAAATAAGTATAAATTATACAATTGAGCAATAATTTTATTCACAATATTTAAATTATGAGTTACTTTTTGGGTCAATTATAGCATTTTATTATATTTTTCAAACGTGTTAAAGTATTATACTTTTTTATTTATTATAAATTTATTAATTTTTAAAATATACTTTAATAAAATATATGATAATCATTTAATTTTTGAAGAAAAATTGAAAACTATATATTAAATTAATTTTTTTCTATAATCGAAGTGCATCTAGAAATATAGACACATTCATCACTGTCGAAACACGCCTCTAAACCGCCTTTCAGGCATAAGTCGTTTCCTAAAAAAGTGCCTCTCTGAGGGGGCCCCACCCCTACCCCACCACTTTTTCTAGACCTGCGAGACCTTCTTAAACTAGTCCGTGGAACCTACCATCTCAACCCTACACGCGAGAAAACCGGCTCAAGTTCCACCTGTCAGCTAATCGACGACTGATTAAAACCGGATGGTTGAGGCCTGGATCGTGGAGACAATGAAGTCTCTGTCGGTCCATTTCGGCCTTTGAGTCCAGTCAATCATTCGCGCCTACAGGAGACACGTGTACGGTTCAGAAGCCGTATTTTTCATTCCTAGGATTGGAAGAGAACCAATGTTTTTCAGCAACTGAAAAAAGCCAAAAAGCGTCGTTCTTATAAGTCAAACCGCGCCTACACGGTGCGTGACAAGCAAACACAGTAGGCACAGCGACTAACGCGCGAATCAGTCGCGTGCTTCACCGGGAATCCTAGGCCTAAGGGGATCTTTTTGAATGTCAAGAAACGAACACCAACCGCTTTTTCGCTTGCAAATCGCGCCGAAATTTTAATACTTCCAACGTAAAAAATAAATATCAAAATAATTCAAACTAACGAAAGATCTAAAAGCCAAAAATAAAAAATGCATAAAAGACAATGATACGATGAAAAAAACGACATTTTATTTGTAAAAAATAAAAATAATATGCAGAGATATAAATACGTTTTAGAAACGAAATTAAAAGAAAGGCGAATAAAATGCTTACCAAAATTGAAGCTGTTTTGAGGAGAGGATTGTTGATGGTTGTTAGCATACTGTTGAAAGTCGAGAATCCCACGAAGTAGAAAATGAGGAGAGTTTGAAAGTAGAAATCCAAAAAAAATGAGCAAAAGAAAAAAATAAAAAAGGAAAAAGCAGCTTGAAATGAAAGAGAGAAAACAATGAAAATAAAGAGGGAGGGGGAAGCGTGACGAAGAAGGGGTTTATTTATAGAGGAAAGGAGGAAGAGAGAGAGGGCCTTTTAAGGAGAACTTATTTATTATTTATTAATTTTATATTTGTTTTTTGGAAGTTTTCTAAAAGGTCAGATCATGTACTCGTGTTCCTGCATTTAAATTTACCGGATTTGATGTTTGCTGGTTGTTAGGTCATTTATGCCCGTAACGATATAATGTCTTTTTTCCTTCAAAAGGTTAGCCAGCAGCATGAGTGTATTTTAATCATTTGATTTAAGCTGATAAAAGGGATTCACTTCAGTTCGATCAAGTGGATTCTTTATTTGATTGCACATGGACATATTGATTTGTTATTATTGCTCAATTGAATTTTCGTTTGTTATGTCAAATTTGGCCTGCGTTGTCAATCTCAAATTCGATTTTAAGAACTTAAGCCAACCAAACTAACATCCTCACCCTCCGTACATATATAAATAAACCCTATCATTCTAGTAATGGGCATTGAATTTCTTCTCTATTTTTAAGATTTTCTTTCTTCTTTTTCTTCTCAAATATTAATTTAAATATCGAAATATAAATATTAAAAATATTTTTAATCTTTATTTTTAACTAACCACTTATTTAATAATTTCAAATTTTTAATATCATTAGACAGTTCGACATCAATACTGTTATTGCTTCATAATAACCAAATCAAATTATTTTTTTAATATTATGTATTGTTCTAATATACGTACCGCACATAAGTCCAAAATCAAATGATTTATATAACGAGACTTACTCAAGATATACGAGTAAAGAATCAGAAAGAATCGAGACAAAACAATAAAGGCACATATGCAAGCTACGGCTAGGTTGGGGTGTAAGAGTATGTCCCAATGTGAGCAGCCTGATACCAAGTATAAAGACTACTAGTTAGAAGGTTTTAAAGTAGCATGAAGATAGGCCAAACATATAGGCATAGAAGGGTCTAGAGCATCCTAAAAATAGGTCATGTGTCACGAATTAGGCTTTCTCTCAACAAGCAATAGACCGTGAGGCACTTGAATGGATTCTTCCACCCAAGTCAGCCCTCAATAGTTTGATATCTGAACAAATAACCATAAACCACAGTTAGTCTCAAGCATACCCAATAAGACACATTTATATCGAGATCAATCTCAAGCACACACAAGAAGACACATTCACATCAACAAAAAGAAAAACACATCAAGGTAACATTCGGGACATTCGAATTAGAGATAAATTTTATTATAATCGAGGATAGTACATCGAGACTTCTCACCATCGCTAGGGCCAGGGGGCAGCCCTTAGCGGATGGTCTAGGCCCGTATCGCGACCGATGAGACAGCCCAATAATACACTGTCCTCTCACCCCCTAAAGAGCCTTAAAGATTTTAGAGCTATGCTACCACTAATCATTATAATGTTTGAAATGTGGACACTTTTCTTAGTATAAGAGATCTACCCGATCATGACCCTATACATGGGTGGCTCATGACAACCTAAGCCCCAGTCATGGCCCTATACAAGGTTGGCTCATGACATCCTCCCCCACCTATTCTATCAACGTCCTTGTCGACTTGCTGGCTTGAAATTCTTCTATCTTTCTCTTGAATCTCTAGAGGTCATGTTTTCTTTCCCAGGTGGTTTCTTCTAGTCTTAATCCCTCTCACTTCGCTAAGTATTCACGAACTAGTCTTCGAGATATCTTGATTTCTCTGTCGACTAAGATCTCTTCGACTCGATGCTCTGAAGGTGGCTTCATGGTGATTGTGACTCTGGTTGGCTCCCTTCGGTTAGCATTTGTAAGATCTACATTGAAAGATTTTAGGTTGCTCACATGAAATACTAGGTACACCTTCATCCATTTTGGTAGGTCAATTTTGTAAGAAGCATTCTTCACCTTGGAAAAGATCTTCAATAGACCCTCATATTTACTCACTAATCTATAATATTTCTTTCTCAAGAACCTGGTTTGTAGAAACTCATCTAACTGTTTCCTTAGTTCAGCCAACTCTGGCGGAGCCATGCGGTAAAAGGCTCTAGCATAGGGTTTAACTCTTAGAATGAGCTTAATTTCATGGTCCACGGCTCTTCGAAGAGGTAAAACCTTAGGCAACATCCCTGGCCTCACCTCTTCAAATTCTTTCAACATTTTTCCACGTCATCAGGTATCAGTTCCACTCTCAACCTTTCTTTGTAAATCGATATGGCCACAAATGAAGGTTTCCCTCTCTTTACCCCTTTTTTAAACTGTAAAGTTAAGATTATTTTCTTCTCATTCTTTGACAAGATAGTGGTCGGCACCACGCATGGATGTTCCCTTAAGAACAACAAGTAACTAACGATGGGGATAGGGATCACCTAAGCCAACATCATGAAGTCCAATCCGAGGACGATATCAAAGTCATCCATGAGGAAAACTGTAAAGTCTACCTTCCCTTCCCATAGCCTCAATTTGGTCGTCACACTCTTAGAGCTTCCACTGATCGCAAAGGCTAGCGAATTGATCACCTTCATTCACCCACAGTCCTTCCTAACTTAAAAATTACACATTTTTGCTCCTTCTGGTGTGATGAAAGTATCGATTGCACCCATATCTACCATGACCCTAGTGGCTTTCTTATTGATTATTAAGTTCACATACATCAGGCCTCTACTATGCTCTTTCTTTATTGTGTTCAGTTAGGTATGAAGGGCATTGAGAAACCTTATTGAACCCATCCTGGCTGGTTTCTCTTCAACTTTTTCAACGATCTTTGGTGTTTTTACGAACTTTTGAGACGATGCTCTTAAGGCATTAAGGGCTCTTTTGTGTAGGCATTCGACCACCTGATGCAGCCCCGTGCATAGAAAATAAGCTAGTGGTTGCCTAGGCCTTAAAATCACTACATTGTTTGTCTTGGGTTGGGTGCTATCTCGACCAAAAGACCTCATGTCTGATCCTCCACTGAAGGTTCGGTCCAACCTAGTCATCTTTCCCCTTCTCTCAAAGTTGAAGTTACTGCCAACTGATGAAGGATTTTTTCGTTTTGAGGAGCCATCATTATAATCGTGAAAACGTTTAGCTGCAGCCATGGTCGTGGTCACGTCTTACACTTTTTGTCTTTATAGTTCTGTCCTGGCCCAAGGCTTGAGGCCCTCCAGGAAATAAAACATATTGTTCTTTTCAAACATTTCTCGAATATCCAACACCATGGTAGAAAAACTCCTCACAAACTCTCGCACTGTTCCTGTTTGCACCAATTCTTGAAGTTTTTTTAGGGTTATATACTTCACATTCTTAGGTAAGAACTGGTTTTTCAGTTCTTGTTTCAGGTCTATCCAAGTCTTAATCGGACACTCGTCTTTGACAAACTTGGAGTGCCACCATAGCTTGGCATCTCCTGTAAGGTACATCAACGCTATTGCTACCTTATCTTTCTTTGAATCCGTATGTACAGCTCGGAAGTACTGTTCCATGTCAAACAGAAAATTTTCAAGATCCTTGGCATCTCTTGGCCCCTCATAGCATTGAGGCTCCGACACCTTGGTCCTTTTTCTTCTTTCCATCGAGCTCAAACTCAATCTGGCCACAACCATTTGTATGATGCTCACTTGTGCTCTAAGCTCCTCAAACTCCTTTTGGAGAACATTCAAGGCATCTCTAGCCTCCTCGCCTACGTTGTGCAAAGTATCAGATAACTCTCGCTGGGTTATCTCGATCTCCCTCAATCGATCCTTAGTCACATGTGAGTTTTCAATGCAGCCACCACGGCCTCAAGCTCTTCAAGTCTCTATTGATAATTGGGTCCACCACTTGTGGCCATCTCATCAATTTTCTAGCACTTCTCAACCGTGCTCTTATACCACGTGTCACGGATTAGGCTTTCTCTCAACAAACAATAGATCGTGTGGCACTTTGATGGACGCTCCCACCTAAGTCAGCCCTCAATAGTTTGATATCTGAACAAATAACCATAAGCCACAATTAGTCCTAAGCATACGCAATAAGACACATTCATATCGAAATCAATCTCAAGTGCACACAAGAAGGCACATTCACATCGAGAAAAAGAAAAACACATCAAGGTAACATTCGGGACATTCGAATCGGAGGTGAATTTTATTATAATCGAGAATAGTACATCAAAACTTTCCACCATCGCCAGGGCCAAGGGGGCAGCCCTTGACGGATGGCCTAGGCCCGTATTGCGACCAGTGAGACAGCCCAACAATATGCTGCCTGCTCACCCCCCTAAAGAGCCTTAGAGATTTTAAAGCTATGCTATCATTAACCATTACAATGTTCGAAATGGAGACACTTTTCCTAGCACAAGAGATCTACCCTCCCCCTTGGCACCTCTACTCGGTCATGGCCCTATACATGGGTGGCTAATGACAACCTAAGCCCCGCTCATGGCCCTATACAAGGTTAGCTCATGACACCATGTGTGCGGGCACACAATGCTCCAAAAGGACCAAGCATGGACTTTGTAGTGTCAAATGAGGAAGATTCTAAAAGATCCTAGCTACGAGTAGAGTAATGCCCTTGCAAAGAAAGATCTTAAAGCTATTAGGCACTAGCACTTAGCGAGAATGCCTGAACCTTTCCAGACCTGAGGCTTGTCAAAGAGTCTAAAATCAATCGAGTTCTGAAGAAGGCGTAATTGACCTAACATAAATCTAGGGGCTCTAGAACAATCTAGAAAGTTGGTAATGGCCACACACTTGGAACAACAAGGACCACAAGTGTCATGAAGCTCAAGTATAAATAGGGGAACCCTTCTCTCTTTTGTAGACACTATACCATCAAGTAAAGACATAATATTATATATATAGAAACTTGGGGACAGACATAAAAGAGAGTCATTGTAGGGACATTGTGCAATTGTACATATTCATCAAGTAAATAAAATATCTTTGCCTTAACTCTCTCATTCCTAAATTTCTTCTTAATTTTTAAAGGATTAGTTGAGTTTAAGCACAAATGCTATACATAGAATTTGAGAAAGATTGACTTAGGCATATTGATGAAAATTCCTGACTAAGGTCGCACGATTATTAGACTTAAGCTCTCGACCTGTGATATTTTTTTCGTAAATCTTTTTAGATTATCACGTTAATTTCTCATAAATTTGATCACATATTCTAGTTAATTAAAGATATTCAATGAATAAAAATATTTTATAAATATATGTATCTAACTGCAAATAATTAATGAAAAGCAGATTTTACTCGGAACAAATTTTTTATGTAAATAGAAGTTGATAAGGTTTTGATTTAAGTTTATCTCATTTCATGCAATATTTTTATAATAAATTAATAATTTATAGAACAACATTAATAATTGTATGGTGTATTGATAGAATATTAAAAATTTAATTTTAATGATAATAATTTAAATTTTAAAATTATTTAAATATAAAATAAAATAAAATAATTGATACAACATTGAAATCTTAAAACTTTCGTAAACAAAACTAAATTAGTGTTACTTATAATTTTATTTGAAAGTATAGGAGAGAATATTTAAGAAGGAAGTATGTAAAGATTTAATCCCGCTAAATACGGGGAAATATAGTATATACTTAACCAAATGCAACAATAAATAATTTCACAAAAATACAACAATAAATATTATTTTTTTTATAAATACACACAATATCTGGGATTAGGAGAGCCCTGTGGAATACGTAAGTTTAATTCTGTTAGAATTCTACTTTTACTTAAACTATATATTGTGTTTATAGTTAATTAATTTTGATTTTAAAATTATGTTTTTCAAATAAAAACAATAGTAGTAGTACAAGTAATTTGATAGTTTTTGGAGAAAAGAGTTATGGTCCTTGAAGCAATAAAAGAGTTAAAGAGTCTTTTTTTTTTTTAATTAATGGGAAAGAAACGTATAAAAATGAGCTGAACAAAGGTGTTTGGTAGGTTACGCAAGCTTTTAATTTCTTGTCGTGGAAAAAAGAAGACATGACGGATTTGTATTGGCATTCTTGGATTTCTTTCATATAAAGAGAGGAAAAAAAAAGGATTATCTCAATTATAATTTTTTATTATAATCATACAATTAATCAATTATAACAAAAAATTATATAGAAATACACTACTTAAATATGAACTTTTAAAAATATGAGCTCCAAGTAGATGAAAAACATGATTATAAAACTCTTTTTTGAAGATTGCGACTTCCATTATAAAAAATTTGTGTATGCATATAACAGTGCATGTAGTATACTTCCATCAGAAACAAAGCTAAAAAAAATTTTCCTCGTGGAATTGGAAGTTGGAGCCTGAAATTTCCTTGAATGTGACCTAAAAATGGAATTCCCTATAAAACTTCCTTGTATACTTTTTTTTTTTATTCTAAACTTGCACGGTCTTCTCTTCTGGACATAAGCCCTCCAATTAAACAAATAAAATTGGTCCTAAGGTTCTCCGTTCAATTGTTGACAAGTCATCTGTAATGATGCCTTGCAAACAACAATATGGAAGATGCTAAATACCCTAATGATGCCTTGTAAACAACAACATGGAAGATGCTAAATACCCTAAATTCTATACATCTAAGTCTATGAATAGTAGTTATAATCTATAAGGGAATGGGTTTTCTCCAATAAAATTGTGGACAAGATGTCAACAAGGTGTTGATTTCTGCTAGTTTTTTCTCACGAGATGTTGGGAAAGAGATCTTTTCTTCATTTGGTATTCATTCGGCGAACAGGTTCTAAGGGCTATAGGATAAGGCATAGCTCATACAAGGACAACTGTATAGTAAAAAAAACCTTACGCGAACAACAGGAATACAGTTCAAGAAGCAACTCCTATTAAATTTTGAGTATGGTCAAGCATGAATTTTTAAATGAGGCTTTACTATAAAAAAAATGGACCACACTTGGATCCAACTATGGCACACAAAAAGAAGCAATTTCTACAGTTTGGACCAAGCTTACAGTATCAAAAGTCACCAAGCCGGTGTAGTCAGCAGCCTCCATATAGTATACTCTTAGCCTTTTCAGCATCATCTACACATCAGCATCCTAGGGTTCTCATGGCAAGCACCATCAGTTAATCATCCTTAGTTTATTTGCGATTCTCTACAAACTATCCATCCTGGGATTTTGACCAATTCTCCCCCACTCCATCTGCCTCGCCTTCTCTTGCACTCTTTAACATCTCCTTCTCAGTTTTCCGAGAATCATATTCCACAGGTGCTTCATTGGCTTCATTAATTACCTGAAGAAGCTCCAAAGGGGTGGCTGCTGGGTCTAACTCACGACATCCCATTGGAGCATTTTGAGCTTCTTGGCCTGTCAGCAAGTAATTCGGCACCTGATGGGAAAAGCGAAACATCTCTTCTTTCGGAATTCTTCTGACTTCCTTGGGGTCCATATGCTTGTGAAAAACTGTCCTAAAACCAGCTACCTTAATTAGAGGAATCACAGAGACTCCTTGTTCCTCATTATAATCATCAAGCACTTCCACCATTTCATATTTGTGTATCACTTCATCTGGTGTATGTTCACTCCAATCAGAAGACCAGTTCCTATAAAGAGCCCAGATATCCCCCTTCCTAGGAAATATTCTAATTATCCCCCGTGTACCTTTCATCCACTGAACCTTGTGGGAGAAAGAATTTAGCATCACACTAATTTCATGTCTGCCACTTCTGAACTCCCCACACGTTTTATAGAAACCACAGCCTATCCAATCCAGCAAACCAAATTCACTGTTGCTTCTCGAATTAAGCCAACTAATTTTCATCTTAAAAGGCTTCAAGGAGATCACGTTGTGAATTCGAGCATAGAAACGGGGCATCCCATCATCATCGTCATACGCAGCCCAGACCTGGTCATCTTCAAAAGAACTTTCACTTCGATCCAAGTCAAAATTGTGAAAATCAGGATCTGGTACATTTATTGACAATGGTGAAATCCCTGTATCTGATTCATCAGGAGAAGGGGCAGGAAGAGAATGCTTGCCTTGATATTCTTTATTGGTATCACGTCGACCTCCATTTGCCATACTCCTCTGTTTCCAATTTTCCTTCTCTCTGACCTTCCCTTTAACTTTGTCAGAATTTTTGGCTTCAGTTACTAAGCTCAATTCCTTAAGCTTTCTACGAATCGCAGTCCGAGCCTTATCCGCCAGCATGTTTCGAACTTCAGACAATGACAATTCTCTCTCACTGACGTGCTTGTTATAGTTACCAGAGTACCCATAGATACTTCTTATTTCAAAAACGCCCCTAGATTCAAATGCATTCCCCAAGCCAGGTCCATTTCCCATGGTTTGAGTTGCCATGTTACCTGTGTAACCATTAACACAAATATCATCTCTTCTCTTTTTCAGGAGTCTCTCTGCTTTAAGAGCTTCTTCACGCTCCCTTTTAACTTTCTCTTGTGCCTTCCATACAACACTTGCAGCTTCAGCACTGGTTGAAGGTGGTGCAACCGTGCCACTAACACCAGCTGCCCCAGAGGAAGGACCCCATTGGAAGCTTGTATTATTAGATGAACCATGACCAGCCAATCCATCATGTTCTAAATTTTTATATCTAGAAGAATTTGCTCCATAGTTAAATGGATTATTATTTGCAGCATGATGCCCTGAAGCCTGCTGCTGTTGGCTAGACCAATTTGATGACCTGTAAACATTTGGAGGTGGGGCCTTTTCTAAAGCCAAAAAGGCCTCATGACAATTAGGGCATAGAAGTGTGTGATTCAGGTAAATTCTGAGGTATTCATACTGTGTCTTGCATCTATTGCAAACAGTCCAAAAGGTAGCAGGCTTTTTATTAGAAGAAGGAAATGAGGTTTGACCTACCCGACTATTACTGTTCTGAGTCCTATCATTTGACGTGATGTTAGAACTAGAACAGTGAAAGCCGTTTGTTCTGGGTGGCATTGATGAAACCCCACTCTGTGTAGGAAACTTCTGTTGTGTTCCCCTGAAATTTATTTTCTGGTTGTACTTTAATCTCTTAGCCTTATCTGATAACAAGCTCCAGGCCTCCGAAACAAGCTTAAATGCACCATCCGCACCTACTGACTTGTTTTTATCAGGGTGAAGCATCAGAGCCAGCTTCCTGTATTGTTTTCTCACCACCTCATCATCAGCCAATGGATTCACACCAAGCACACCATACCAATCAGCTTCCCCACTCACTTTATTCTCTGCATAAATATACACATCAAGTGCAGTCAACATCTGGGCAATACCATCAAGCCCAGGATACAAATTTTGAGCCTTCAAAGCAAACCTTTTAGCTCCAGCATAATCCTTCTCTGTCACCTTCCTTTCAGCAATCTCTTTTGCCCTGAATGCCTCATCTTTGTTACACTCCATAATTCTGAGGTACTTTAATTTGTTTCTTCCTCAACTAGGTACTCCAATCAAAACCCACAATTTGCAGCTTAAGACTCCTTCAAGCCTTTAGACAGAGATAACAGCTTCAAGTTTAGATGCCTGATCCAAAGGAAGAAAAACTCTCTTGATAAAAATATAAATTTGAATTTGAAAACTAATTGAAAAATAAATGCATTACCAAGTGGATAATTTTCTATATGCTTAACTTAGTTAAAAACAAACAAGATAAATCTTTAATTGATACTAGGGTTTTGGTTGCTTTTATAAAGAATCAATATTCTTAACCACAGCTCGTATATTTCTTTATCTGACTCTACAATCTTACCTTAACTAGAAACAAGTTTCGCCATTATTTAAGCAGAAGCATGAGTGCAAATTCTTATAAAATTCAATATCATTCCAAATACATATCTAATGCATATGACAACAACAACAACAACAAAAAATTAAGCTTTATATTCCATAACTCTGGGGTCAGCTATATGAAAGACCAAAAAAATCATCTTAGGTAATAGTTTTGAATCTTTTTGCACTATTCATTTCTATAAAAAAACAAGATTTTAATCTACTTCCTTACCCTCATATCACCTCTTATTACTTGTATCCACGTCTTTCGTGGTATACCTCTAGAAGCTTTAGTCTCTCTCAAATCCTAAAACTCATTTCTACTAATTGGTAAACAGATAGACCTACGTTTTATATGTCCAAACCATCTCAAATGGTCTTTTTTTATCTTGTCCTCAATTCAGACTACCCATAATTTTTCTCAAATCTATTCATTTTTTATTGTCTCTTTTAGTCTTACTGCACATCCATCTAAGCATTCTCATCTCAACTATGCTCATTTTCTTCTCATGTTGTTTCTTAATGGCTCAACACTCAATCCCATATAACAATGCAGGCCTTACAGTTGTTTTATATAACTTCATCTTTAACTTGAAAGGCATGTTGCGATCACACAACACACCTGATGCACTTCACTACCTCACTCATCTTGCTTGAATCCTATGATTTACATCCCCTTCTGTCGCAACATCGCTTTGAATAATTGATCCTAAATATAAAAAATAACTATTCTTTGGTAATACCTCACCATCCAACTTAATCACACTAGCATTTGCTTCCCTATAACTATTAAACTTACATTCCATATATTCAGTTTTATTTCTACTCAATTTAAAGCCTCAACACTCCAGTGTATGCTTCCATATTTCTAATTTCGCATTAAGATCATCACTAGTTTTAGCAAATAAGACTATATTATCGGCAACTAACATACACCATGGCACCTTATCTTGGATGTCTAGTGAGCTCATCCATAATTAATGCAAAAAGAAATAGACTTAGTGATGAGTCTTGATGCAATCCTAAGGTAATGGGAAAGCTATCACTCAAGCCTCCAGACATCCTCACACTTGTTACAACTCCTTCATACATATCTTTAACTATGTTAATGTATTTTAAAAGAACTTTTTCTTCATTAAAGCCTACCAAAACACCTCTCAGGAAACTCTATTGTATGCTTTCTCCAAGTTGATAAATATCATATGTAAATCTTTATTTCTCGCCTTGAAAACCCTCCAACAAAAGCCTCAATAGGTGAATTGACTCTGTTGTAAAGCGTCCTAGCATAAACCTAAATTGGTTTTCAGAAATAATGACTTCATGTCGCAACCTATGTTCAATTACTCTCTCCTAAAGTTTCATAGTATGACTTGTAAGTTCTATTCCCTAATAATTTGAACAATTTTGTATATCACCTTTATTCTTGTATAAAGGCACTAGAGTACTTTTCCTCCATTCTTCTAACATCTTTTAAGTACGTCAAATTTTATTGAAAAGATCCGTCGACCATCCTATGCCAACATATCTAATGCATATATAGAATAAAAAATGCAATCTATAACTATCATAATATTTTATAAAATAACAATAATACCATATCCTGCATTTCTTAAAAAGCTCCAACACATTCTATTTTTATCTCAAATGACGTATAATTTCAATCCATTGCAACTTGAGCTGGAATAATTAATAATATAAGATTATCCTTCCAAGAAAATACCCCATGGTGCAATTACTAATTAATTCTCTCTCAAGCCCCTGATCATGAGAGAGAGAGAGAGAGAGAGAGTTTTACGAGGATTTAACTCAAACCACAAGTATATTTGTCCTTTAATTCAAAAAATCATACAAGGCAAGGATAACTTAGTCAACAATTCATCTTACACTCAGAAGGAAATGTAACCAGGAACACAACCATAAGGATAGATGCAACCACCATCTAAATGCTAAACGTGTGAGCACTGATCCATATGCAATTTCAGGTATCTGGAACATATAAAAGCATACTTGTTTCTTTGTCCGATAACTGTCTATGCAACAACAAAAGAACCAAAATAATTGATCCAACCAGACACTTCATTAATGGCTGACACCTATTATAACAGGGACAAGCAATGTTTTTAAGCTAATCCAAACAACATTAACCATTGTAGGCACATGCCACATACCAAGTTCTACAAGTCATATGGCTGACCCCACCTATAATCTTAGCTTCAATCATACATGCTTGGGTTTTGTTATCCAGATAATAGTTGTCATAGATGAGAGCTTTCCACTTTGCAGACCTAATCAACCGTTTGCATCATGCATTGTTTATATCAATGACCAAATGAAAATATTGAGCACTTTAAACAGGCTTACAAAATATTGGAAAAATAAAATCCTAACTAAGCACTTAGCTATCATTTCATGAGCTTGATACCATCAGTTGCCATTTGATGCACAAGTATATAAAACAAAATGGTTGTCGTTTCTTGGTTTTCTTTAGCATCCCTCACCTAGTTCGAGCTTTGGAAATGAATCAAGGCAAAAACCAAGAAGTGCACAGCATTAACAATTTTCCATCCTAATCTAATGCATGCCATCCTCCACCAAAAACAACCAATCACTAACATTCCAAAGAATCCAAATGTAGAATAGCTAGAAGGTTCATAAGTAGCAACAATATAACTCATATATATATATATATATATATATATATATGGAAAGCAACATTCTGATTTCTTTTGATGCTTTCACCAACTTGTTATGAGCAACAATAACACTGTCATGTTATAAATGCTTGAATTTTATACCTTACCTATTATGAAGCTACCTAATTAAACATATCAATTCCTCTTTAGAATACCATTGACCAGCTCAATTTCTCAATCCTAAGAACATTAACAATTATATCTACATATAACCACCACGTAACAAGTCCTTTTTTGCTTTTTCCAACAACCTAAAACCTCAAAATGCTAACTTCCCAAGATAAAAGTTTACCCTGAAAACCCAAAATGACTCCAAGTAGTCAAGATAAACAGCTAGATGAATTAACTTTAAAAGGTAAAAAAAACAACCCTCATACCAACTTTCATCAGCATTTCTTTACCCATAAACAAAAAAAGAAAAAAAGATGAAATTTAAGTCACATTGAATAACCAAAAACAGAAAACCAGTTGAAATCCAAACTACTGGGGAAGGACACTGAAGAGTAAATTGAACTTTCCAGGTCTCCAAGGATCTACAGTTAAACAAGATTCCAACATGCTTTGTAACGGTCAAATTTGGCTTTTTCAAATTTTTTTACCCGGACGAAACTGAAAACCCTAGATTCTATAAAATTTCAACAAACAGTCCACAAAGATTACAACCCCAAAAGAAATGTTCTTTGTAAAAATGAAAAAAATAATAATAATATAAATAGAAAATATACCTTTCTAAAGGCAGTCTCTTTGAAGCCAAGAAAATTTCAATCTAAGACAAGCATGAATCACAAGGTGCAGTGACCCATTTGTCCCCTTGAGAACCTAAGGAAATTTTCTTTCTTTTTTTAATTTAAATCTCAAGTAAAAATTAAGAATAATATAAGAGAAAAAATGGGAAAGTATGGGTTTGGTTTAATACAGAACTATTACTTTTTTTATAGAAAACCTAATAGAACATTTTTATAATGGCCTTTGATGCAAAAGGACTTAACCAGGGTTAGTTTTTGACTCTTGTAATAGGTTTGTAGGATTCCCAAATTTGATGAAATATTTATTATTGAGGATTCTCTATTAAAAATAAATAAATAAGATCTAGATTTTTAGAAAATTTTAATTTATTTTTGAATCTTTTGTTTTATATTTATTTGATTAAAAAAATATTACATGTATAAATTTTTTTGAATTCATAACCTTTAAATATTGAATATCATGTTAACCAATCAAAAAATTAGTTGATAATAAAATATAAATTTTGTTTTATGTTTTTATGAGAGATTAAGAATATATTTATCATTTTTATTAAAGAATAATGTTAAATTTTGTCCTTATATTATAATTTTATTAAATTTTATAACTATATTTTTATTTTTTTAGATTTTTAATGTAAAACAACAAATAAATGAAAATTTTCATTTGCATCAATATCATAGTTTAAAAATATTTTAATTTATTATTTTTTATTCAAAAATTAAAAAAATTAAAATTATGATAGTAAAATATTATAATTTTGTTATTTTTTCTAAAAATCAAGAAAATTGAAAATATAATAACAAATTTTAATAAAATTAAAATACAATAAAAAAATCATAATTAAATTGTGAATTCGAATAATTGCATTTTATGAGAGAAGCCATATTTTTATCATTCTTTTACTTGTGCTCTCCAAAAATAAATGTTTTATTGAAATAAATCATATATCAAAATAATAATAAATCTCCAAAGTGAATCACATATTCGAGATAGATTTTTTTTTAACATGAAACAAACTTTTTTTATTTGATTAAATATATAATTATATTTGACAATTTGACTTGATGATAAATACATATTACTTTTCAATAAAAAAGATTCAGATATTTTCTTTCCAAATAAAAGTTATTATTATTTATTTACAAATATATATATATATATCTAATTAAAGAAAAATAGAGATATCATAGAAGAAGAGAAGCGTAAAAATTGTGTGTACATCAATTATCAACATGTCTAGCAGTTGTGTGGTTTATTATCAATTATTGAATGATCAAATTGAATCTTTAATAATTTCAAATACAAAAAACAAATAAATAGTTCAACGTAGGCACTGAATGGTTGCTGATACTTTATATTGTATACTACATTACATCTTGCCAACTTCAAAGCATTGTTAGGGTGAGCTAGTTTTTTTTTTTTTTTTTAATCTGAAATAAAAATTTTTAAATTAAAATAAGATATATTATATTAATAATTTAAAATAAATGATTATAAATTATGTATTTAAAATAATTAACAAATAATTATCAATAAAATTTAAACTTAAAATTTTTTCATTGAAAAAAATAAATATTAACTAATTAAACCTATAAAATCACTTATAGGTAGATGCATTAGTTTTAGTTAAGTACAAATGTCTTAACTTCCAAAAGCACAAGTAGAAGGGCTATCCAGTTCATCTTCTTTCTGTACAATGATTTAAAAAGCGCACGCTTTCTCATACCAAATTTATTGACATAATAATGAAGAAAAAAGACCAGCCAAATTCATGATCTCGAGGCTATCGGAGGTTATAGTTTCCAACCTCCCATTGCATGTTTCTTCTCTTTTTCACCTTCCTCTTCATGACGGATGCCATGGAAATTCTCCAAATGAAGAAAGACCATAGTGGACCCCCAACGCCGAATCAACATCGAGAGCGACTCGATCTGATTCTCGTGCCATCAAAAAATAAAGAAAAAGAAAAATAAGAGTAGAAGAAATTTGTTTTTTTGTTTTTTATTTTTTAAAACAAAATCAATTACTTTTGGAAAAAGATAAATTTAGTTTGAAAATTATTTTTTGAAAAGCCAATTTTCAATTATATAAATTACATATTTTTAGTTAAAAGTTTTGTAATTATATTTAAAAAATTATAAATTTTAATTATATTTACTTTGAAAAAGGGTTATTTTAATCAATAAAAACATCATCCTCATGTCTTTATCTTACACATAAGAAACCTGGTAAATGATAAAAAAAAAAAATCATCCTAATAAAAAAATCATCCTAACATTATTTAATCCAATTCTATCATATCTAAAAATTATCATATCTAAAAGTATTCATGGGTCAGTCCAAGACAAATTTAATCTAATTCATATTTAATATTAATAGTTTATATACTTGCTTAAACCTAATCCAACAAGAAATTTCAAACCTTAAAATTTTCTCAAGCTCAATCAAAATTAAAAAAAATAAATCCCAAATTCACTTATTCAATTTAATTTATATAATAAAAAATTAAAAAATATATATGATTAAATTAAATTTAATAAAATTATATTCAATTCACAAATATATAAATATTAAAAATACAAATTATAATATACAAATAAAAAATAAAAATTAAGTTTAATAAAATATATATAAATTTTTTTTTATATATACATGAATTAATTTATATATAATTTACATATATAAAAAAATGAAAAATTATATACATATATATATATATATATATTTGGATCGGGTTGAATTGAATTCAGATTTTAAATTTTTTATCAAAAGCTCGATTCAAAATTTAAATAAACTTAAAATTTATGTCAAATTTCAATTAATAAATTTTAATTTTTTGTCCAAATCCTCTTAAAACTTGGATAAACTTTCGGATTTAGGCAAATAACACTCTTGAACAGGTCTAATCATATCCTATGCATCAACATCAAACATGTCCCGAGTAACTTAGAATCTTAGAATGGCTTTATTAGATATCAACTAAACATGGATATGAACACAAGAGTGTAGACAGTACGGACAAGTTCGGGAATAAACAGGACATTAGATCCATGTATTCCATGCAAGAGAACATTAGGAAACAAAAAACAATGAATAAACAAGTTGTCTCCTTGAGATATGCACATTGGCCATAAGGCACATGCAGATTTCAAAATGAAACTAATTAAATTTGTCAATAAATCTACACATGCAAATGCAATATTAAAATATGAGGATTTCTACTGATGCTCAGGATTAACTAGTTCTGCCTTGTCATGGTGGAATCTCACCACAATGCATGTTATATTGTCAGCACTACCACGGGTGAAAGCAGTTTCTGTCAACTTTCTAGCAGCTGTCTCTGGTTCTTCTTCTGCTCGCGCAAGCGAAACAGCATCCTGGAAACATAATTTGAACTTGTAACAAGCAAACATGTAGAAAATTTCCTGATAATAAAGCAGGGATTTCCAATGTTCCTGTTACTTTGAGCAGTGAAAGATCATATAGTTTAATCTTTTTGCAATACATTGTCAAATCAGCAACCTCGTGCGAGCTGGTTTTGTCCCTTTCATTTTTATTTTGTTTTCACAAGTTCAAATATCCTGAATAACTAGTGGTTTATTCTTAGACATTGCTCAAAAACAATACCAGGTGCGTGCCAAATACGTGGATGAATAATTAAGTGAAACCATGCAAATGTCAGAAAGAGATTTACCTCATTAGGCACGACATCCCATAAGCCATCACTAGCAAGCACAAGCAACTCAAACTCTTCATCTATCTCTTTATCCTGAGAAATAACAAACATTAAGAAATAGAAATTTCATTAATCCAATTTTCATAACCTACCACCTTGAAGCCAAGTCATATATGAAAATCACCATAGAAAACAGAAATCAAGGGACAAAATAGGATGGAGCAAGAAGAAGTAGACCTCAAGGTAAAAGTGGAAAAGAGGCAAAGGTATTCACCACTGTATTCAAATTAAAGAACAACCATTAGAACATTTTCACTTCAGCATCTAATTCGAACACATCAGACTCTGACTTTTGGATGGTTGTGGTCAATTAGGAAGGATGAAAATAAAAAGTTACAATTTTCAACATTTTCTCATGAGATGATGTTTTCCCTAAATGAGTCCTTACTATTTAAAACAAGGCAATACATCGGGAGAAAGTAACTGCAAAATCAAATGTAATGAGAGCAATTAAGATGATTAAAGATTACTAGCTTATTAGTATAAGATTTTCAGGATCACCTGGATCTCCGGTTCTGCAACAACAAATTGCTTCAACATACGATTACCGAAAGCTCGAGACATAGCTAACACACCTCCTACCCGCCAAGTTCCTGATAACATGATCAACAACAAATCTTCACTATAAACTTTCAAGCGCCAGAACTTCCAATTTATGTACCAGATATCAAGGAAAATATTTGTTTTGGCTTCAATAAGACAAGCTAGATTTTTTAATAGTTTTACCTGCCCACATAACAACCCCTCCAGCATTTTCAATTCTCTTCCGTTCATCACTTCTATTTGGTTTATGATCTTCAGAGAGAGGGATTGCTTTAAAAGGAAAAAGAAGCTGCTTTTAGGAATCTCCATTTACAAATTGAGAATTCTAAACATTCATTTTCATGTCAAGTTCAGGTTACTCAAATAAAGCCATAAGTATCATATATAAGATATAAGTCACTCAAATTGTAATATGCATTTGATTCTAAACATTCATTTTCATGTCAAGTTCAGGTTACTCGAATAAAGCCATAAGTATCATATATAAGATATAAGTCACTCAAATTGTAATATGCATTTGATATTATTATGTACAGTTCATACTTGTTGATGACTACTGAGCATACCCATGAGTAAAAAAATAAGTAGGTTAACATAATCCACCAAGTTTAAACACAAAATACAGCACTTTAACATGACTATTTATCTATATAGAGTAAGGGCACAGCATAAAGAAAAACTCAAATGCTTTCAGAATATGGGGCTTGGCCTTCTTCCTTTTATTGGCCCCTTTCCTCAAGCAATTTCATAGAAACATTTCACGATCATCTTAAAGTAATCGTATTTAATGGCAAAATATGTTAATGCACGTATTAATGCACTTGAAACAAACGTATTAATATGCAATAAAGATATGTATAAAATACCTATTCCAGCCCTGGATATTATAGTCCTTGAGTCTCCAACATTAGCAACATACAGATGGTTACCAACCAACACTGCTGTTGAAGCAGTTGAACCATCGTCTCGATAAGTATCTCTTTCAGAATCCAAGAAATCTACATCAGTCTGTTGATATGTTTCACCTACAGGCATATCCAATGAACCAAAATGAATAAAACAGTGAATTCAAATGGGTTGATAATCATTTTATGTAGGACACAACCCCATCAGAATGCAAGTTACTGACAGAACAAGAAAGAAATACAAGTACTAGAAAATGCATGGATCCTCTATAAAGTGCTGACAAAAAGGATATGCAACAATCTAAATGATCCACAAAAACAGCACATGAGAGATCTTGGACACACTTATCGCAAGTTTGGTGTCAGTCATGAACTGTGGATGCTTCATTAGATTCTCAAAAAGGTGTTGCTTTAAATATTCAGCAGCACGAGAACCACCATGCCCTGCAATTGCATATAATAGTGGTCAAAAATTAGGGCAAAAAAATGATCATTTCCGGTATCAAAGGCATCTTGCTCTCCAGAAATGTTACTTATCAACCAAAATCGGGTCACCAGGATGACTGATAGTATAAATAGGTCAAAACTCAAATCATGCATCAAGAGGTACTTTTGAGAGCAGTTTTGAGATATAAAACAAAAATAATACAGATTGATTATTATAATCTCATAACAATTTCTACTCTTATTTAAATGAAATCACAAGAAAGCTGAGACACACATAATTTAAAAGTTGGTCTATCTTTGACCCAGGCAACTTTGGACACTGTTGCCTCTAATTAGTCGTAAGCAAGTCCCATTACACAAACCCCAAGGTTGTTATTCAGATACAAAACTTAGATTTTTTAGCATTTTGTTGCACTATCAATACTGTGGTTGTTGAAACCCAGATCCAGCGGAAAGACTAGCCCGTATTGTAGACTGAGCTCTTCTCCACTCATCATGATTGATGGTGCCTTCTAAGTGTTTTTAGATAATGTCTTCTAGCATGTGTAATATTTTTAATTTCATATCCTTCCACAAGGTAAGAGATTATAAGAGAATCTAACCATCAAAGATTCCAAACGTGCAGACTGTCTGCCCATTAATCTTGGAAGTTCTAATGTCATAGAAATCTTCCATGGTGGCTCTCTTTCCCCTGAAACTTGAATACCCACAGCTTAACTTTCCATCTTCACTGCAAAATCAGATGAGAAATCTACCATGTAAGTGTCATTTTAAATATGAAGTTAGTTAATAGCATCAGATATACAAATAACAAGAATTGGACAAATTTATATCTCTCTTGCACATCTAAATCAACAAATAAAATGCCATTCATGTGCAATAGGCTATGGCTTCTATCTTCTGGACACAAGAAGGAAAGGAATAATGATTGTAGGTGAAATGAAGAAATTCAGGTGAGTGTATGGTTTCCAGGAAGAACTTGCAGAGAAGAATACTTATGGCAATGGTGATTTGCAAAAGTAAAGAAAATGCCAAAGAGAACACAATTGTTATTAATGATGATATTACAAGTCTTGCGCATAAGAAACTATTCTTTCTTGACGTCCTCGAATAATTGGGAACTGCAGTTAGGAAAGTAAAGACAAATTGATGAAAAGAAATTTACTAAAAAAGCATTCTTCAGTTGAGGTGCCAAAGAGAACACAATTGATATTAATGATGATATTATAAGTCTTGCAGCTAAGAAACTATTCTTTCTTCACATCCTCAAATAATTGGGGAACTGCAGTTAGGAAAGTTCAGACAAATAGATGAAAAGAAATTTACTAAAAAAGCATTCTTCGGTTATTCCACTATGAAACCATGTGCAATTTTATGAAACTATGAATTTAGAATATCAACACGTGTAAAATTGACATCATTCAATTTCTTGGATCGTATAAATAATCAGTGGCTTAAAGTATCAAGACGACACCTAGCTTTCCATGATTAGGCAGCAAGTTTGTTGAGCCAAACATGCAAAGAAAAGATCAAATCTGACAAAACAATTAAAAACCAGCATACAAGTAACTCCAAGCAACATTTATTCAGAAATGAAACCATATTTAAAAATTTAGAGCCAACAACATGTGTGTTTGATTCTAAACAAATCATGACATTTGGTGAAAACTACCTATACTTATAGCTTAATGTGTATGACAAAATCATAAAACAACTACTTAAAACAGGTGGAAAACTAATATGTACCTTTTCCACCCTCCGCTAACATATCCACCATCATCATCTTTCTCCGGAAAGGCATCAATAACGGGACCTCGGTTTGCCGTTGCACCTGAATCAACCATCATTTTTACACTCGTTCGAAATTCACGATTCCACCAAAAAGTTAATCCAGCACCGACATATGAAGTGCTTCCAATACTTCGTAAATGCACCCTTTGCGGGGTTAAAATTGTTCCTATAAGCCCAGTTTGAACAATTGCACTCGTTAAACGACTGCTGCATAGCATCTAAAATGGTTCACTTATGGCTTTGTAATGCGAGATCTTCAAACCCATGAACAATGCTGCATTAAAAAATCAGAAACAGCATAAAATTAAAAATTAACAAACTGTTTTAACTTCGAAATTTAAATATATAAAAAATTATTCACCCCACTGAACAATTCTTAAATGATCATTAAATCAAATCATGCACACCTATCTCTTGTAATTCGCATAGGGTCGATAGCTTCCAACATAAATGAATTATTACATGTTAAATTTGAATATAGTACTATATGGTTTTTTTTAATTAACAATTTTATAATATCCATATGAAGCAAAAATGAGCGTGATAGAGATAAGATTTCCACTTATAGTAGTAAGTTTAATCAACGTAACAAAAGAGAAAAGAAAAATCCGAGAGGAATAAAAAATCTTACATTTTCTTTTCAAATTAATCGACTCATTTCTTGGGCTGACAAAGATGCAACAGAGAGGCAATCAAAAAGGCAGCATTTTCGATCAAATTTAAACGAAACTATACAAACAAAAAGGGATCTCTCGTTGAAAACTTTGGATAAAAGAACCGGATCGGATCGGGGGAAGCGAGAAGAAAGGATCGGGTCCAGGTTGGAACACGTGGGGGATCAGAATCTGAAGCGGAGGTTAGTAGGAATCGGCCGCGTAGCGTTGTATTGTCTCTTTCTAAAAAAAGAGAATCTGAAACCCTAGACAGAAAAAGGGATGGAAAAAAAAAAAAAGAGAATTGAAGAAATTTGTAGAGATATTGGAGGATGAGAGAAAGTGCGGGCCGAAAGAAAGGGAGGTAGAGAGAGAAAGATGGCAAATTTGTAGCTTGGCACCGAAGAGAAGTGGCAACGTGGCACTCTTCATGCATCCACTCTTTTTTGGGAGGCTGATCTTCTGTGCTCTCGCTTAGCTTTGAAGTTTTCGTTATTTGTTTTTTAATTTTTAAAGTAAAATAAGTAAAAATTTGTGTTCAAAGATAAAAAGCAAATAAAAATTTTGAAGGATTAAGCATAAAATATACAATTTATTTATAAAAAAAAATGTATGATCTTATCTTTATATAGGTTAATCATTTTATAATTCATATTAAATTTTAATTTTTTTATAATCAAGTTTGAATGTTTAATTTAACGATGAGTACATAACTTTTTTAAGTAATAATTGTTTGAACTTTCTTCCTCCAAATAAAAAAGTTTTCTTTTCGGGGAAAAAAGGTACTATCAATTAAATTCAACTTAATTATTTTATTAAATTAGAAAATATTGAAAGCATTTTTCTATTTTGTTTTGCAAGGGTTTTTTTAAATAATTTGTATATTTATTTTTCAAATAATTTGTAAAAGTTTATATATTTATTAGTTACAAGTATTACATAGTACAAATTTAGGTAGCATTTTGATTTTGGATTTAGAGTATGCCAAAAACAAGTGAGGCTTTAATTTAATTAAGTTGCGAAAATGATAAAGCTCATAATCTATTTATATTCAATTTCAATAAAATTTAAATTTGATTTGATTAAATTTATATTTGAATAACTAGATTTATTATAATCTTTTAAATCAAGGTAAGATGTATTATTAATCTTTTAATTTTCTCAAATATTTCAAAAATATTCAAATTTCGAAGTTAGAAATAATCAAATGATATCACCGAGTTACTAATGAAAAAATTTTTCAAAATTATGTATTATTTAATAGATTAACTACGAGTCTCATTCGAATTTGATTGAAAATGAAAATTGGGCATACTCTCTCTTCGAGCTTGACCAATTACCAATTAATAGAAAAAAATTCAAGTTTGTTTTTTATTAGGTAAATAAAATGGTTTTTTTACATTTTTTTTTTGTTTTGATGTATTTTTCATGTATAAATTATAAATGTAGGACGACAAAACAATAGCAGAGATAAAAAAAAAATATGTGTCATACCTAATAGTCTAAGACAAGTAACTGCAGGTAGTACATTATTCATAGAGGATAACAACATTAACCAATTGAACTAATCACTTGTTGGTAAATTATTGTATCTTAATATCTAACTAGAGTAGCTCATATAATTTTTTATATTTTAATATATTTTTTATTATTTAAATTTAAAATTATTATTTTACTTTTATATATTAATTGAAGATCAAATTCAAATACAAATAATTGAGTATGAAGTCCAGTATAAAAATCAAATTTATTTTTATTTGATAAATAAGCTTAATCGAGTATGTTTGAAAAACTTAACTTTTATTTTAAATCAAACTTAAGTATAAAAATTAAAATTTGATCAAACTCGAATCAAATTTGAGATTCTTACTATATCAACTTAATTCGGTTTCATTATATTATTACTTTAGTGATAAAAAAAATGCTTTAAAACTCGAAAATTTTATATTCAAATCTCATCATTTGTGAATTTGTTATTTAGTAATATTTTAAATTGAATGATAAATTTACATAAAAAGGTTTTATATTTTTTTATAATTTTTTTAATTATTAAATTTAATAGATTTAATAAATAAAATTAAATAAAAAATTTAATTTATTTTCATAATTCTTAAATTTATTGAAATTAATTGTTAAAAAAATGTAAAAAATTACAAACTTTTTGTATAATTTAATCTCTTCTCATGTTTTAATTTATTAATTAATTGATTATTCGGTAATTATCTATTAATTATGATATAATAATTGTTTATTTAATTTGTTATATATATATAATATTTGAATGTAATTGTAATGTAAAAAAATAAACGGGACACATACAAAAGTACCAGCTAAAGCTGCGAGGCGCAAACTGAGAGAGGAATTATGAGGCCAAGCCGGACACTGCGGTTGTAACGAGAGGGCACAGCAAGTCCAATTTGCGAGTCACCGACTCCACTTTTTGTGCTTTACTGTACGTAGGAATGAGAAAAAAAAATTAAAATTGAAAATTAATTTAAAATTATAATATATTTATTTTAAATCAAAATTTTGTTTATTTACATCAAATCAATTTTAGATATTAAATATATATTAAATTTATATTACATTTCAAACCGAGTATGAAAAATAAAAAAATTTAAATTACATAATTTTTTAAATTATATATATTTTTAAATTTTATATATATTTTAAATTTTTATAAAATAAAAATAATAATTTTATATTAAATTTTATTTAAATATATTAAAATTTTATATTAAAATAATATATAAAACATAAAAAATATTTTTAACAATTAATAAATCAGATTAAACCAAACTGATAAAATCTAATTTAAATAAAATAAAAATTCAATTTAAATTCAAATTAAAATTTTAAATTTTGTAATATTATATAATATTTAAAAAATAAAATAAAATTTAATTTGATTCAAATTATTATCAATTATCATTTATGACCGTAATAAAATTGCTTTTTGCTAATTGCTGCCACGCCATTTCGTTTAAACTCAAGTGCATCCAAACCGGATCTCTGTTCCCCATAAATTAGAAAAACAACTCAAAAAAACAAAAATTAATCCGCTTCAGCCCCTTTTTGGGGCTCAAGAATCCATAGTCACGGTGAAGATAACTGGACCGGACAGCGGACAACGCATGGGATTTATTTAAAATATAAAAATAAAAAATTCATAAGAGATTGTTTAGCAGATAATTACATCTATATCTATTGCATATACATGGCTTTAAACTTGAAATATAATAATAATTATTATAATATAATATAAATAGAGATGCGAATAATCTTGTGAATTATAGAAACTAAATATTATTTTCATTATTTTTCTATTTTTCATTAGATATTTTATATTTTTTAAAAATTTTTTGAAACCAATTCGTATAAAAGAACAACTTATCTATTAGACTATTGAACTAATCAACTTTATCAAATATATATAAATTATTTTTTTTATCGATTTTGGCTTAACTTCACGCTTCTGTTTTATTCAAATAAAACAATAATTAAATTTATGTCAATATTAAACTTAAAATTTTCAATCCCACTAGTTTTATACTATCGAACTTTATCAATAAAAAATAATTTTATAAATATCATCTATCAGCTTCATCTAATGAACTAGCGGTGGTCCAGATTCGAGTTGACAGCTTGACATCAATGTCCAAACAAATGGAAACAAACGTAGAAAAAATTCATTTATATCAATACAAAATTAATTATTTTTACAAATTTTATTAACCGTTAGATCAACATTAAATCTACGACTGAGATTAAAAGTTAAAACATTCTTTTTATTCAGCTTCCTTTGGTATTTGGCTTCTGCGTTTCTCTTCTTTATTCCTCTTTCACTATTTTTCTTAATTTTCTTTCTTTAAAAACTGAAATTTGAAGCTTAAAAAACCTTCTTTTTCCTCAATTTCTCGGATTTCTTTTCCTATATCCCTTTGCTTTGTCATTAGATTTATTTAAAGCTTAAAGACTGACAATCATACCTAAAGTCTTGGCTATCTACTAACAAAAACGAAATAAATAGAAAAAATCTTAGAACATGCCTCTAAATATAAGAAATAAAAGTATAAGTGTAGATCATTGAGAATTACTAAAATTAATGAACTTGATTTCACACTCTTAATTGCCGGGATATTGTCTGGATTTAAGTGTTTATCTTCAATCTGTTTAATGGCTGAAATCACTCTCCTATAAACAAGGAAATGAAATCATTCCCTTAATTTTGGAAATTGCATTCTAATTTTAAAGAATCATAGTCAATCTCCTGAATCTTTTAATTACCTTTAATTTAACAAATGTAAAATCAATACAGAGTTTATTTTTTGATAAATTAAAGTTATGAATCAATCTTTTTTTGGTTCGCGACATAAAATTATTGGTGGAGACATTTCAATATCATTAATCAAATGTTATTGTCATTAATATGAGTTATGAATCTCATATCAATTATATATTATAATTGATTTGATTCATTTGGATGGGTATCACGCGAAGAAATTGTTCTTTTCCTGAATTACTATATATTTACGAAAAGGATGGTCAATATTAAATTATTAAATTGTAAACTACAGAGGTCCATGACGAGTGAGGTCATGTAGAATTTACTTGAAAATTTTTTTATGTTATTAAAATGCAGTTTAATGTGGTGAAATATATAATTCAAAAACATGACGGAGATTGACTCCTTAATGTTCAAAAGAATTGTGATGTTAAAAAAAAAGAATTATTTTACTATATATATTATTTTGAATTACGGCCTGTAATTTTCAATTTTGAAATCTAACAGCTCATTAATAATTTAATATAAATTTCATTTGTAAAGGAGTCGTCAAATTACAAATATAATATAATTTTAATGAATGAAAGCAAAAGATGAATGATGCGAAAGTAAGAAAAACAATTGTCGTAATCATTATCCAAAACCCATTGTCCAATGTCAATGGTGCTATCTGAAATTCCGAATGAGCAAATAAGGGCGAGGATAGGCTTGAACCCAACTCAAATCTCAATTTCAAGTCTACTTAATATAGTACAAAATATTTAAAATTCATAATTATTTATTTCAACTTCAAGTATATACTAACAAAATTATGTAATAAAAAAATGGTAACCATTATTATATTGCATAAATTAGAAAATCAAAAGTAAATAACCTACCCAAAGAATATACTATACTATTTTTTATTTGTATAAAAATCCCACTAATAGTTTTTTATTATCTCTTTGATTTAAATCCCTGCTCATATCTTTTTTTTTTCTTTTGTCAATTGTGGTGTGATATAACAATATATAAAAAATAAAAATAATTTAATTTAAATTTTTAATAAAAATTAAAAAATATATTAATATGAATTTAATATAATAATTTTATATTTTATAAAGAAATAAACTCTATACAAATGGACAAGAATTCAAGATCAATGAAAGCGCTGACAATCTATGCCACCAAGTTTGAC